AGAAATGGCCATATTCTGTTTGCCTTTAAGGAAAACGGGGCGCAGAGGCCAGGCGAAGCAGGGACGCCTACCACGTGACCCTCCCTCCCGCTCCTAGATCCCGGGGTGGCCCATCTCCACCCGTCCTAACGCTCTCCACCCTGCCCTACCCCATCCTGCCTCTTTCAGCCCTGAAGGCTGAACTGTTTCTCCTGCCTTCGCAGTCCCCGCTGTCCCCCGGAGTCCCGTGCCTGGGAACTGCACCTCCAATTTTTCTTATATGAAGCCTGTTCTGCTCCTGAGGTGGGGAGTTAATGACCGCCAGTTGCAGAATGGCCACCAGGGGGCGCGCGCGCTCCTTGTGACTGAAATTGCGGCGCGCGGGGATGCTTAGGAGGAGGAAAAGATGCTGGTTCAGGTGGTACCCGGGTTCCCCGCGGGGATGCTCAGGAGGAAGAAAAGATGCAGGTTCAGGTGGTACCCGGGTTCCCCGAGGGGATGCTCAGGAGGAGGAAAAGATGCTGGTTCAGGTGGTACCCGGGTTCCCCGCGGGGATGCTCAGGAGGAGGAAAAGATGCAGGTTCAGGTGGTACCCGGGTTCCCCGCGGGGATGCTCAGGAGGAGGAAAAGATACTAGTTCGGATGGTACCCGGTTTCCTTGCTCCACTCCCACTCCTGCCACCCCCACCCCCACTCCCCATGGGAGACTGAGGCCCAGCGAGGGCAAAAGGCTTGCCGGTGCCTCCACGGCCCCCCGCGCAGGGCCCAGGCTGCCCGCGGGCCCCCCAGTGACCGCGCGTCTCATCCGTGCCTCCCCCGCAGGACTTCATCTGCGTGTCCTACCTGGAGCCCGAGCAGCAGTCGCGGACGCTGGCGTCGCGCTCCGACACGCCGGCCGAGGCGCTGTGCGCCCAGTGCGCGGAGAAGTTCGAGGTGCCGCAGCCGCAGGACCACCGGCTCTTCGTGCTGGTGGACGGGCGCTGCTTCCAGCTGGCCGACGAGGCGCTGCCGCACCGCATCAAGGGCTACCTGCTGCGGAGCGAGCCCAAGCGCGACTTCCACTTCGTGTACCGGCCCCTGGATGGCGGGGGCCCGCCCTGCCTCGTGGTGCGGGAGCCCAACTTCCTGTGACCGGCCCCGTCCAGCCCCGCCGCCCTCCCCGGCGCGCCTCCGACTGACTGTCCCGGGAAGACCCGGCCACGCGCACCGGGCCACGAAACGGGAAACTGAGGCAGAGAGAAGCGATGCTTCCGCCAGCAGAGCCCAAAGCGACCCCTGTTCACACGTGGCATTTCAGGCCAGTCCCTTGTGGCCCCCTGCTCCAACCCTGTCTCCCGGGGCCTGGCCCCAGTTGGCCTCCCTGCTGAGGCGCCCTGCTCAGGAGCCTGTCCGGCAGCTGCCTGGCCTCAACAGAAGCATCTGCTACCGCCCAGTGGGGCCAGTTCGGCAGCTCCACGGACAAGGCAGGGCCACAGGCCACCCTGCAAGTGGCCACACCTGGGACCTCACCCTGGTGCGTGTGACAAGAGGCACGTGTGGGTGGTGAATAAAAGCCCTTTGGGAAATGCCTTCTCGCGTCCCCCAAATCCAGAAGGCCCCCCGTCCGCCGCTGCCCACCAAGGGCCCAGTCTCCCTGGAGCTTATTTAGTTTGTTTTGTTTTGTTTGGGGGCCGCACCCGGCGGTGCTTAGGGGTTACTCCTGGCTCTGTGCTCGGGGATCAAACCTGTGTTGGCCATATGCAAGGCAAGAGCCCTCCCTGTGTGGCTACTGTCCACGGGTCCCCTGTCTCTTACCACCTACTTGGACTCAGCCCCAGGGGCCTGCTCCTCCCTCCATCCTGTCATCTACTCCCAGAGCCATTCCCGCCTCTGGTTCATTTCCAGGGTGAGTCCATCCCCTTCCGGCGGTTCCTGCTTCATGGCATACAAATTCCTTCCCCAGGGTCATTGTCTAGTCAACTCCTATTCACCCTTGAGCACCCATCTCCGCCAGGAAGCCTGCCCTGACTGCACACAGCCCTTGTCTGTGTTTCCAGTGCCCCACCCCCACATGTCTCCAGTTTTGTCTAAGAGAGGCCACTGAGTTAATTTTGTGTGGTGGCTTCTGCTTCCTCCCCCAGATTTGAGCCCTTCTCACTTGTGTCCCCAGCATTGAACATAGTTGTTTGTTGACTGACTGCTAAAAAACCACTTTACGACACTCCTATCAGTGCTCGTCAAGAGCCAAGATCAGAGAGGCAACGTTGGGGAGGGGGGCCACGGTGATGGTGTGGTATGTTGGGCAACACTGGTAGGACTTGACGCACTAAGCTCCTGGACGTTGGAAAGCTGTGGTCAGTAGTCAGCTGTGGTCAGCAGTCAGCTCTGGTCAGTAGCCAGTTCTGGTCTCTGGTCAGCTCTGGTACGTAGCCAGTAATTAGCTGTGGTTCAGTGGTCAGCTGTGTCCTCTAGCTTGGGGTTGTGACCCACCCGGGGACAGGCACATCCCTGAGGCCAGCACTGCCTTGTCCTTCCTCCCTTTGCCCCCATATGCTGGGCACACACCCCTTCCACAGCTAGAGTCCCTGGACACGAGTGGGTGGGGAGTGGCGGGGCACCGGCTGGCCCAGGCCACTGCAGGCTGGGCCTCAAGGGTGTGCTGAGTCCCAGCCTAGCTTCTAAGCGGGGACAGCACCCAGCAGTGGCAGGGCAGGGGATGCACCAGTGTGGGCAGGGGGACACCACTCAGGGAGGTGTCACATGACCGGCATGCTGACCCTGTCTCCCTTCCCACTGTCCAAGGGGTAGTCCGGTAGGATGGGGCCCTGGTCCAATCTTATTTTCATTTTTTGTATAATGCTCAGGGGTTACTCCTGGCTCTGCACTCAAGAGTTACTCCTGGCGGTGCTAGACGGACCATACGGGATGCCAGGGATTGGCGGTGTGCAAGGCCCTACCCACTGTACCATCTCTCTACCCCCCAGGCCAGCCCAGTCCTTTATTTATTTTTATTTTATTTTTGGGTCACACCGAACCATGCTCCGGTAGGATGGGATCCCAGTCCAGTCTTGTTTTTATTTTTTGTATAATGCTCAGGGGTTACTCCACAAGGGAAGCCGGGGGTTACTCCCGGCTCTGCAATTCCTGGCAGTGCTCACGGGACCATATGGGATGCTGGGAATCGAACCCGGGTCGGCCGCGTGCAAGGCAAACGCCCTACCGGTTGTGCTATCGCTCCAGCCCCAGCCCAGTTCTTTTAAAGGCCAATCTCCAAGTGCAGAGATTGGGGTTAGGGTAGAACTTCAATGTGTGACCGCTAGGGGGCACAGATCAGCCAAAACCGGGTAACAGCCAAGGTCAGCATGGCAGGGCAAAGGGGAACTTCTCCCCTTGTCTAGGGGCTGCGGGGGGAGGGGCAGGGGGCGTGGTCAGACAGCCTCAGCAGGGAAGGCCAATCCAATCCCACGCAAGGACAGACTCTGGGGCAGAGGCGGGTATCCAGCCGGGGGCCCAGGCGGGGGGGCAGGGGGGGGGGCAGACCTCAGCTGAGAGGAGGCTCTTGAGTAGATCCCACTGAGAGCAAATTCCAGCGGGCAGGTTCACAGGAGATTCCCAGAGTAGATTCTCAGAGTCACAGCGCGGATCCCAGACTGGACTCCCAGGGGAGCTCCCCAGGAGGAAGCATGAGCACTTTACAGATGAATCCACCCACACCCCCACGCGCGCCCCTGTCCCACCAGGTTCTCAGCCTGTCCGCAAGTGGCACCTTGAAGATCAGTGCTGGGATCTGGGGCGGCTCGGGCACCTTCATCGGGCGGCTGGGTGGAGGCCGGAGCGAGGTCTGCCTTCAAGGAGGCCCGACCCCTGAACTCAGGCCTTTCTGTGGCCCTGGACAGTGTGACATGAGGCAGGACACAGCTTGTCTGGCCACTCTGTGTGCCTGAGGCGGGGGCAGTGCCAAGCCTGGGCACAGACGAGGCATCTCCACTCCGGGCACCGGCCCAAGCTGTGTGTGTGTTCAGGGATGGGGCCAGGACCGGTGACGTCATCTCAGCTGTCACCTCTCTGCGCAACACATGAAGAGTCCACAGCCCTTGGACAGGAGGCATCTGCTTTCACCCGTTATATGCGGGCCTCAGGGCAGTGAGCCCCACCCCCCAAGCCTTGCAAGACCCCTGAGCTGAACTGCTTCCAGGGTCCCAGCAGGGATGAGGCCCCAGGAGCAGGGCTCCTGCCCCGGCACTGAGGGACTAGGCCCTGCAGTCCGGAGGGTCACTTGGGACAGGGATGGAGCAGGAAAGGGCTAGGGGTGGCTGTCCTGCGTCCCCAGCTGTCACTCTGCAGGAATGCCGGCTTCTTGGCAAGGCTCCCCAGGAAGCCCAAGGCAGCTGGGGACTGTCACCCTGTGGGTGGGTGCCCCCTTAAAAAAAAAAAAGTCACTCCTTATGGCTGGAGTGATAGCACAGCAGTAGGGCATTTGCCTTGCAGCCAGCCCAGTCATGCCAGGTTCGATTCCTCCGCCCTTCTCGGAGAGCCCGGCAAGCTACAAGAGTATCTCGCCCGCCAGCAAAGCCTGGCAAGCTACCTGTGATGTATTCAATATGCCAAACACAATAACAATTGTCACAATGGAGATGTTACTGGGCCCGCTTGAGCAAATCGATGAACAACGGGAGGACCGTGACAGTGACCCCCAGAAATCTACCTTATGGAATGGCACCAACAGAAAGCACACCCCTCAATTGTACCTCAGGCTGCTCCTGACCCCCGCTCAGCACCACTGGAGTTGCGGGGGGTGGCGCTAATGCCAGGGGAGTTTTGTTCTTTGGGGGCACCTGGGGGTCCTTGTGGTGCTAGGAACACTCCCAGCCACTGGGCTGGTTCCTCCCCCGAGAAGCAGAGTCAGACTCCCACAGACTCACCCGGAGGGACTCGTGTCTCCTTGGAGGGCAACTGAGGCTGGGGCTAGGTGCTGGGGTGCCCCCTACACACACACACACACATAGACAACAGAGGGGCAGGGCCACAACCCCCAAGCCAGGTTCAGTGCTATGACTTTATTCAACGTGTCCATTCGTGTGGAGTAAGACAGAAAACAATCAGAGCTGGGAATCGTGTTGAACTGTCATCTTCCATTGGGGCTCGCATCCCTCTTCAAGGAAACCCATTCTCAAGGTTGAGTCGGGGGGCGGCAGATGGAATTTCTCAAACCCGCACCCCAGTACTTCCAACTCCTGGAGCCAACGTGGGAGGTGGGGGGCAATATCTCCCCCCACCCCAACTGAGAGCAAACTTCCATTGTTGCTCTGAGAAAAGTCCTCCGAGCCTGCGGCTGTCCAGCGGTGACGGGCCTGGAGGAAGGGGGCCACGTCCCTGGCAGGCTGCTTTCGCACCCCTCCAGCCTCGGGGGTCTGGGGAAACTGCGTTCCAGGCTGCGCTGGCGCATGGAAGCTTCAGGGAGGAGCTGTTCAGTAGTAGTAGCCAAGGCACACCTCCTTCATGGCCAGCTTGATTCTGCGAGGTCGGAGAAACGGGTCCAGGCTCAGAGGGGACCATCCAAGGCCGTGCCCATCCCCGCGGACACCAGACACAGGAAGCAGAGCACCTCCAAACCTGCCTCAGTTCCCAGGACGTGCCCCTTCCCCGTGCCCCGACACAGGGAGCAGAGCATCTCCCGGGCTCTCCCGTACCCACACTCACCTGTCGATCGGGAACGGCTCAGCACACAGGTTGACCAGCACATACAGGTGTTTCAACGCCGCCTCGTACTGGAAGACAAGGGAGCAGATGCTCGCCTATGCCGGCCCCGGCCACCTCCCGCTGGTACGGGGGTCAGCACCGAGGCCTGTTTTGGGTCCCGCATCCCCTCTTCCCACCTTCTGGTCATCGAGTGAGACGGATGAACCATCCCCATGTAAAAGCAGCCGATGAGGTGGGAAAGTTCCCAGGGCGTCTCCAGGTCTGGGGAACTGGACCCCAAGACCCACCTGATCTCGGAAAGGCCCTGGCTTCAGGCTGGGATGAGGGGGCCCCGCGATGAGTGAGTGCTCCACAGAGGGGAAGAGACGGATGAAGCTGGAACTGTGAGGGCTCCTGACCCAGAAAGACCCTTCAAGGGACCCAAGAGGAGAGACTGGCGGCAAGTCTGCAGATGGCGGTGCCAAGCTGCAGAATTAAGTCTCTTTCTACTTTCCTGAAGTAGTAGGATTTTGGGGTGGGGGTGGGTTTCTTTTTTTTATGTGTGGCACCTGGTCATGCTCAGGGGTTACTCCTGGTCCGGTGCTTGGGGGACCATATGGAATCCCGGGGGTTGAACCCGGGTTGGCCACAGGCAAGGCCCTCCCTGCTGTGCTATCACCCCAAGTTCCCAAAGTGAGTTCTTTCGAACATTGGACAGACAACCTAGGAGATGGGAACTGGGCACCTGGACTCTGACAGGATGCTCCTGATAGCCCTGAGGACTGCCTGGTGGCAGTGGCAGTGGGCCAAGGCAGACACTTAGCTTCCTGGAATCGTGCCAAAGATAACACAGGGGTTGCTGCAGGGAATTATACGGGTGCCAGGGATCGAACCTCTGCCACATGCAATGCCCTGCCCATTGGGCCGTGGCTTCACTCCCATGGGTGTTTATTTTTCCCTGGGGGTCACATTGGGAGGCGCTGGAGATGTGAAAGAAGCCAATTTGGGGGCAAGAATCTGGGCCTCACACGTGCGAGGCATGGCGGGTGATTCATCATTCAGTAAGGGGCAGGAGGACAGCACAGCGGAGAGGACGCTTGCCTTGTATGTGGCTGACCTGGGTTTGATCCCTGGCGCCCCATACGTTGTTTCCCTGAGCACCTCCCAGGAGTGTTTCCTGAGCACAGAGTCAGGAGGAAGCCCTGGGCACCATGGAGTGTGGTCCAAAACCCAAAAAGTAATTTAAAAATAATACATCATCCACCTGGGGCTGGAGCGAGAGCACAGCGGTAGGGCATTTGCCTTGCACGCAGCCAACATGGCCGACCCGGGTTCGATTCCTCCGCCCCTCTTGGAGAGCCCGGCAAGCTACCAAGAGTATCTCGCCCGCACAGCAAAGCCTGGCAAGCTCCCCGTGTCGTATTTGATATGCCAAATACAGTAAAAAATCTCACAATGTTACTGGGCCTGCTTGAGCGAATCAATGAACAATGGGAGGACAGTGACAGTGGACAGTAACAGTGACATCATCCGCCAAATCAGGAACACTGTCTCTGAGAGCTTTCCAGTGATGGAGCTTCTCCAAAGGGCCCAAGGTCCGGGGCTAAAGAGATTGCACAGCAGGTAGGGCGTTTGCCTTGCACACAGCCAACCCGGGTTCGATTCCCAGCATCCCATGTGGTCCCCTGAGCACCGCCAGGAGTAATTCCTGAGTGCAGAGCCAGGAGTAACACCTGTGCATTGCCGGGTGTGACCCAAAAAGCCAAAAAAAAAGGGGGGGCCCAAGGTCCCCTTTCTCAGGAGTTCCTGCACATGACCACTGACATCAACAGAACTTTCTGCCACCCCAGAAATACCCCTGCTGCTCCCCAGGTCAGTGACCCCCGGGGACCCCAAATGCTGGAGTCCACAGGGGAGTCATGCAGCCGAGAGAAGGCTTCGCCCCTCATCTCCAAGCCCCCTGAGTCTCGCCCCTGCAGTGCTGGGCTCAGAGCAACCTGGCGGGCTGTGCCCATGCCAGGACGGCTGCAGCAAGCCAGCCAGAAGCCTGGAGCTCTGCTCAGCATGGACCCTGGCACATGGCAGCGAGGCTGAGGTGGGGAAGGGCAGTCTGGGGCACGGGGGGCACCCCATAGGGCGGGCTCCCCTTCCAAGGGCCCAAACAGCACGGAGAGCTGCCCCGGTGCTCCCAGCTGGGACACTGGGTTAGAGATCTGAGTCCACAAGGGAAGCCGGGGGTGGCCGGGAGGATGCGGTCATCTCTGCTCCTGTCCAGGACATAACCTGGCCTGCCTGGAGGCCTGGAGGGGACTCAAAGGGCTGGGCGTGGGCTTTGCGAGTGGGAGCTCCGCCCCCTCCCCGGCTGCCCCACGTGGTTCCTAGAAGACCAGGCGAGTGTCTCTTGCCTCAGTGAAAGAGTGTCAGGGGGGCCAGAGAGGCAGGACAGCGGGCAGAGCATGGCCTGGCACTGTAGGTTCCATTCCCTGGTTCCCCTGAACGGTTCCTGGGATGATCTCTGAGCACAGAGCCAGGAGAGAGACCAGAGCAACACAGAGCATGACCGGCCCCCGCCCCCAGAAAAAAGAGTGTCTGGGGCAAGGTTGGATGGTGGGTGGGTCGGGACCACATTCCTTACCCTGCTCACAGCTGGGCCTCTGCACTCTGCCCGCCCACCACGGCCTGGCCAGGATGGAGCCTGGTGCCAGGTGTGTCCGACATTGTGCTGACTTAGCTCGGGGGACAAGTTTGGGAAAGCCGGGTGAGGTCACGCGGGCTGCCCAGGGGCCTGGGCTCACCTTGGGGATGTGCCAGTTGAAGCAGTGCTTGCGGAAGTGGCCCACAGCCGCCTGGTAGCAGGCATGGGCGCTGAGCTCAGCTCTGGATGTCAGGAGCCTCTGGGCTGTGGCCTCCGAACCGGCCAGGGACGCCACGATCTTCTGTACCGACTTCTCGATGACTTGCTGTGCCTGCCGAGGAAAGCATCTTTCTGGAATGTGCTGGGCTTCTCACAGCTCCCCTGCACCCCTAGGGGGCCCGGAGTTGCAGGACAAACCGTCCAGCCTCCTGCAGCTGGGCAGAAGGTCAAGACGCCAGGTGTGGCTGGAGCGAGAACAGGTTAAGGCGTTTGCCCTGCATGCAGCTGGTGCTCCAAGATGGTCTCGTTGGCACTGCCAGGAGTGACCCCCCTGAGCACAGAACCCAGAGCCTGACAACCCCCAGCTGAGCCCAAACCCCCTCCTCCCAGAAAGTCATTTCTTAGCATAACCCTTTAAACACAAATTTCTGACCTCACATCTCTCAATGAGTTCACATCTGTGAAACCCCACTGGCCACTTCTAAGGTAGGAAATGGTCACAGAAGCCACGGATTATATGGATTTTCTTTAGTGCCATCAATGACAAAGCATGTAAAGATGACTAGGACTGTCAGTCGAAGGATTCCCATGGTCCCACGGCACCAGCAAGAAACGTGGCCAGGACAGTGCTGGAGCGATAGCACAGTGGGTAGGGCGTTTGCCTTGCACGTGACCAACCCAGGTTCGATTCCCAGCATCCCATATGGTCCCCTGAGCACTGCCAGGAGTAACCCCTGTGCATCGCCGGGTGTGACCCAAAAAAGTAAAAAAAAAAAAAAACAGTGGTCAAACTAACATGCCACATATGTGTCAGGAGTGTTAGATGGTCTTAAACAAAACACACAGATAAGCTTTCTCTTCTAGAAAATTCTGAATGCCTTCCGACCCTTCGGTCTCTGTAGACCTGCTGGCACTGGGTCACAGCTGTGAGTGAGACCCAGCTGCCCCGGCCCGGGGGAATAGTGGAGGCTTAGAACAGCGGCCTGGCGAGCATATGGTCTTGCAAGCATCTGGCCACGAGCTCAAAACCCTGGTGTGCCGGATTGGCTGAGGTTCTCAGATCGGGTAAGAATCCCAGAGTGTAGCCCCCAGGTCTTCTGAGCGCTGCGTGGACCAACCCCAGATCCCCAAAAGAGGACAAGGGCACCGCTCCTCTCCTGCACCATCCCAGGCGGTAGCCAGGTAGTTCCATTCTGTCCTGGCTCTCTGGACATTGGTAGACGACAAAGCCTGGGAACGGGCACGCGCACGCTGCAGAGACCCGGCACGGGCACGCGCACGCCACAGAGACCGGGCACGCGCACTCACTGCAGGGACTGGCGTGTGCAGGCATACACGCGCGCACGCGCACACACATGGTTCCCTTCCCTACCGCTCACCTCCAGGTGTTCGTGGAGCTCCTGCACCAGGCGCCGTGACTCGGGCAGGTCGTTGGTGAGCATCAGCTTCCGTTTCAGGATGCTGACGGGCACATCGCGGCTGGGCGTGAGGTCCAGGCGTGTGACAGGGGGCAGGGAGATGGGGGCGCTGGCTCTGTGCTTCATGCCTTGGAACTGCATCAGCTTCATGGTGGAGATGGACTGTGGGGGGGCGAAGGGGGGGAGAGGGCGGGTCACTATGGGCAGAGGACAGCCTTCGGGGGCTGCATCCGGGCTCAAGCCCTCCCCATGGCCATGGCACACCCAACGGGCCATGAACAGGACACGCATGTGGCGCTTGTCCAGCAGCTGAAATGCTCCAGCAAGGCAGACTCCTGGAAAGAGTCTGGGGCCCTTGAAGGATGCACTTTTTCTGCCCACGGGGCATGCCTGGAGGTAGATCATCCTCACAGATACCCGGTTCCAGAAGGAGGCAAACCCAGGGCACCCCCATCGCCACCCTGAGACCAAGGGTCAGCAGGTGCCCGTGTGAAGGAACTAGATGGATCAGTACTGAAGTTGGGGTACCGAGGCTGGGCAGAATTTATGCCCCAGGACCTCACCCCCAGTAGAACTGGGGCTCACTGCAGACCCGGCCCCCAGGGGAAAAGAAAACCACTCACTCCCAGGCAGGCAGCAAGAGTGTCAAAGCAGCTGGGGGGGGGAGGGGGCTGGAGCGATAGCACAGCAGGTAGGGCGTTTGCCTGGCACGTGGCCAACCCGGGTTCGATTCCCAGCATCCCATATGGTCCCCTGAGCACCGCCAGGAATGACTCCTGAGTGCAGAGCCAGGAGTAACCCCTGAGCATCGGTGGGTGTGACCCAAAAAGCAAAATAAAAAAAAAAAAATTTTTTTAATTAAAAAAAAAAAGCAGCTCTGAGACAGGAAATAGTGCAGCAGGATGCAGAAAAAGATCCTTTAACGCCTTTAACACTCAAAACTTCCAAGAGCAGGAAAAACCAGGGGGCAAGAGGGCTGCCTGGTCCTTCTCTCCCTCTGATGCCCACCCCTACACGGCCAGGGTAGGGTCGCCTGGGTCTGCCTGCCTGTCCCACTTTCTACTCCCCACTAACCCCCATCACAAGCATGACCAGGGGCAGCCCAAGGGGCTGGCGTGCGTTTCTCTGTTTCCCCAGCGCCACCGGGTATGGCCCCAAGAAAATAAAATCAAAGCCAGCACCAGGGGACTCAGCCACAGCTGCCTCGGTGGCAAGTATGCAGAGAATGGCACCTGGTGGGGGTGGGGGTGGGGGCGAGGTTCAGCCCTGCACCAACCACAACCTCTGCATGACAGGGCGAGCCCAGTGGGTGCCCAACAGGGGCCAGAGAGATCAGACAGCAGGGAGCGCATTTGAACCAACTCAGGTTCAATCTCCAGCACCCCGTGTAGTCACCTGAGCACTGCCAGGAGTGATCCCTGAGCATCACCAGGTGTGACTCAAAACCAAACAAATCAGAGGAACCTCCCAGAGGCATTGGGGACAAGCGTGGAGAGGACGCACGTCTCACTGACTGCATGGGGGCCCCAAAGCGTGATGTCTGTGGGGCAATGCCATGATGCCCACCGGGGAGGCAGCCCATGAAGGCATCTCCTTCTTCCTGCAGGCCAGTTAGTGCCAAGTCACGGTCTCACGCACAATTCCCTTCAAGCTGCTGGTTCCTTCTACACGAGGGCCTTGGCCACAGAGGAAACGGTTCAGAGAAGGAGAGAGGCTGTCCAGGCTGGCAGCTGGCTGGTGTGTCTGGCCTGGCGGGGTGTGACTCCAAGGCTTGGGAGGGGTCCCAGGAGGTGGCACCCCTCCTCCCCACCACCTGGGTCCTTTCTCCTGCTGGTCAAGAAGCCCAGCTCACCTTGTTTCCGTACTGCATGACGTGACTGGTGTTGGTGTGCGCTTTCACCAGCTGGTACTGCTTGTGGAGGGTCTCTCTCCTCAAATCCTCCTGAAAAAATAAGGCCAGCCAGGGCCGGAGCATTAGCACAATGGGTAAGGCGTTTGCCTTGCATGCGGCCGACCCGGGTTCGATCCCCAGCATCCCATATGGTCCCCAGAGCACTGCCAGGAGTAATTCCTGAGTGCAGAGCCAGGAGTAATCCCTGAGCATGGCTGGGTGTGACCCAAAAAGAAAAATAAAAATAAGGCCATGCAAGTCCTTGGACTGCCAGGGCCAGATGGCCCAGCCTCTGCCGGCTCCTCAGATGGCCACACTCACTCACCACGTCAGAGTCCTCCATCCAGTTGACACTGTACCAGTCTCCCAGGTATGTGGACCGCTTCTCATCGTAGTAGCAGGCGAAGGACGACTCCACGGCGTTGGCAGCCGTGGTCGCATAAACTGCCCGAGTTCAAGACACCCCGTTAGTCTCTGAAGCGGAGATGTCCTTTCCCTGCCACTGCCATCACACACATCACACACATCACACACACACACACATACACACACACTCTCTCTCTCTCTCTCATTAACATACACACTCATAAACACACCCATCCGCACACACATACACAGGCACACTCATGAATACACTCACACACTCATTCGCACATGCATACACACACTCATTCACACTCCTACATGCACACGTACATGCATACATTCTCATGCACACTCATACACTCTCAAGCACATTCACACACTCATGCACTTTCACACTTATCCACACATAACCACTCACACATACACACATTCACACACACACACTTTCATACACATATTCACACTCTCATGTACACACTCATCCACACTCATGCACACACATTCACACTCATGCATACACATTCACACGCATCCACACATGCTCATCCATGGGATAACACTGCTTCTGTCCTTCTTGCATAGCCTCAGATAGTTCAGGTTTATTGGGTTGCTCCCATTCCTCTGTGTTTATTTGTAACCTTTTTCTTTGTGCTCTGTTGACTTGTAAATATTATTTTTCTCTTCTCGCTAAGTCCTTTGCATAATTTATTCAGAGCAATGTCCTTTTCGTATGGACACAAAAAGTCAGTATATGCTATGCTTTTGTAATGTGACTCTCAGGGATATTTTCCTCCTGGGCATCTGTCCTCTCACCTAAGCCTCAGCTGCTTTTACTTCCTAGCGTCCCCAGAAGCAGGGTCCTGATGAGGGACTGGATGGACCCAGGGCAAGCCGTAAGCTATGTGTTACCCTGGCATCGAGATGGGCCTGGCCAAAGCGCCATAATGCTTAACTATAAGTTAAGAGCTTGGTCATGGACAAATGCTGTCATGATCCAAAAAGTAATAACTAGATTTGGACCCTGCTAGGGTTAGAAATGATTAATCTGGCCTGAGCACTGTAGTCTGAGTCTGTGGCAAGATGTTCCTAGGAGAGCTGCCCTACAAACCTCAATGTATCTCTTACTATGTTCATACAAAAATAATGTTAAGATGTTGATAGTTATTGGACTGAGGAGAAGAGAAAAACACCTTAGGAAGTATTTTGCCTGGGGCAGTCAGGAAGGGCTTTGGAATACCTTTTAGGTGGTGTTCCCTTTTGAACCTGGTGGGCCCTCAGGAAGGGCTTTCTTATGTTGATTTGGCTACCTGACTGGGTGCAGGTAGCAGTAGATCAGCAGTAGATCAGCAGTATCTCCAACCCAAAGTTGGAGAGAGAGAGAGAGAGAGAGAGCAGGGCAGCAAGATGGACTGCAGAGAGAATAGCGAGGAGGACAGAGAGAGAAGAATGTAGAAGAACACAGGAGCAGGCACGTGGAGAGAGAGAGAGAGCCCAGGCTGCGAGATGGAGCGGAGAGATGAGCGGGACAGACAGAAGGAGACGGGAATGAGGGGAGTGTGAGACTAGAATGGGAGGCTCAGCTGCCCCACGGCCTGGGGCCGCCCTGGCTGCAGGAGCGGCTCTGGCCCACCCCGAACGCGGGTGAATTCGGGCGGCAAGGGGGAGAGCTGTCAGGGGCCCCCCCGGCTACCCTCAAAGACTTTTTACACTCATCCACACACACTCATTCACACACGCTCTCATGCACATACACTCACTCTCATGCACACACTCATATACTCATATACACACATTCATATACACCCATGCATACACATTCACATACTCATGCACACACACACTCATACATACACAATTTAACACATATCCACACACACTTAGGCACGCACATTCATATACACTCGGACACACTCATGCACGCGTACGCGCGCGCGCACACACACACACACACACACACACACATACTCAAACATCACACAGGGAAGCAGCACATCTTTGCATACTGAGCCCGTGCCTGGACACTTGGAACTACAAGATCCCCTGAGCACCACTGGGAGCAGCCCGAGCACAGATCCAGGAGTCATCTCTGAGTACTGCTGGGAAGAGAAGCCCATTGATAATACAGTTTGGGGAGATCAGGAGGCCGGTGCACAGCAAAGGGTGCAGGGGATCGAACCAGGGGCTCCTGCGTGCCAAGCATGCACATAAGACACTTTCTGCAGCAATAGCTAAGCGTTTATGTATGAAGACCTCAAGCTATTGTGGAATAAAGACGAAAATTTAGAAGTGCTCCAGAAATTTGGAAGCATATGTACCTAATTGGTTTGTAGAGAAGTGAGCGGTTATTTCGGGTCTCATGGACAGCAGGTGGGTTGGGCCACACTTGGCAGTGATCAGGGTTTACTCCTAACTCTGTGCTCAGAAAGCACTCCTGGAGGTGCTTGGGGGACTATATGTGGTAGCAGGGATTGAGCCAGGGTCAGCCACCTGCAAGGCAAGTCCCTTAACCCATGTACTACGTTCCTGGCCCCAGTGACGCCTTGGATTGACTAGAGCTGCGATTCACTATCTATAACCTAGAACCCACAAAGGATGTGTGTTTATCACTTAACACATAACCGCTAGCCAGACAGGCAGTGTCCTGGCGTCTTCAGATGGGGAGGCCTAAGAGTCAAAGACAGGCTCGCCTACCTGAGAGCAGGGAGTCCCCCCAGCCCCACCCAGCAGCCCCCAAGAGGACCACGATGAGCCCCAAGTCTGTGATCTGGACACGGGTGGCCTTACAAGACCCTGGGGCTCCAGACAGCAGAGGCCTCTATTTCCGGCCACTCAACCTCAAGGAACAGAGGAAGTCCGGAGTCTCCCACTTCCACATACCGGGGTGCCCCAACGCCCACCCACCCCAACATGGAGAGCGCCTGGTCCTTATCAGCAGAACCATGACTGACCCCTGATTCCCCAGACCCTATCTCCCGGGCCAGCTGACGGCCAATGTCCCCACCCCATGACCTACCATTGATGTCGTCTGGCAGGTGCTTCATCATGGAGCCAGACTCACAGGCCTCGATGTAGAAGACCATCTGTGGGCGGGAGACAGACACAGCTCACCTGGCCCATGGGCCCACTCCCCGCAGCTCGGCCCCCGGGCCTTCACTTTCGCTTCTGGGATGGGGAGCCCGTGGAAGCTCCGCCACGCGAACTGGAAGCCCGGAATCTAATCTGACCGCTGAGTCCTGGGGCGGCCTGCCAGTCTGGGCACAGGAAGGGGGGTCCCCACGTGCGTCCCCGGAACCCCAGGCAGTTAAGTGCTCAGCCTCACGCCAGATCCGCAGGCCACACTCTGGGTCTGGGACTCGGAGCTTTAACAAGAGCTTCTCACCTACCAGCTAGTTTCAAACCAAAAAGGGTTAAGCCTGGACAAACGGGGTGGTGCGATGTGGACCCTTGGCAGAAAACATGGTACCCGGTGTTCTAGGGGGACCCCAGTGCCCTCTGCAGGTGCCTCCCCACTGGCCGCCCCTGGCACTGACCTTACCTTTTGGTACATTTTGTGGTCGTACATATACTGGATGGTCTCGTTCAGGTCCTGGACGTGAAGCTGAACGGGAAGGACAGTGATGCTGAGACTGGTACCTCCAGGGTAGACTCACAGCTCACAGGCGGTGCATGCAGGAGGCCTGGTTTCCATCCTCAGCACCACGTGGGCCCCAGCAGGGGGGCCACCAGGCATAGAGCTGGAGACAGCCCCTGAGTACAGCCCTTCCCCCTCCCAAAACACCACCTCCAGAGGAACCACAGCTGAGACACCCACTGAAGCCCTTTGATGTGGTCCTTATCTGCCAGTCTGTACAAATACCACGGCAGATGTTCACTTCCCCAAATGCTATCTCATCTACTTTTGCCTCATAGTTAAAAGAAGGAAGCAAAAGTACTTCTTCATCCCCCACTTTGTCCGGAGCAGAGAATGTTCTAGAACGATTCTCTGGCGCGGGGCAGCCCAGTCTTGAGAGCGCTATGAATACTGTGACACAAAGAGAAACTCGCAACAACTTGGGTAGGTGACCCGAGGGTGAGATTTTGTTTTGTTTTGTGTTGGGACCACACCCGGAAGTGCTCAGGGGTCACCCCTGGTGGGTTTCAGGGTCCTGAACCAGGCCTGGCCACGTGGAAAGCACCTGCCGTAACCCCTGTGTTATCTCTCTGGCAAGATTCCAAGATCTCTCTGGCTAAGTGTCCCCCGCGGGCCACTGCCACTGCCACCAGGCTGTCCTTGGGGCTGTCAGGAGCATCCTGTCAGGATCCAGGTGCACATTTCCCATCTCCTAGGTTGTCTGTCCAATGTTCAAAAGAACTCACTTCGGGAACCAGGGTGATAGCACAGCGGGGAGGGCATTGCCTTGCCTGTGGCCAACCCGGGTTCAATCCCCGGGATACCATATGGTCCCCCAAGCACCGCCAAGAGTGATCTCTGAGTGCAGAGCCAGGAGTGAGTCCTGGGTGTGGCCCCAAAACCAAACACAAACACACACACACACACACACACACACACACACACATACACCTCACCTCGTCATTGGGAAAGACCAGCAACCCCGTGGATCCGTGATCCGTAAAGTAGACAAACACGTGGTCCCTGGGCCCACTGAGGAGAGAGCAGAGCAGGGAAAACGGTCATTGCGGCTTCCTGCTTCTAGTCGGAGTCCCACTGCTCTGGGTCCTTCATTCAAAACCAAGAAGGGGGCCAGGGAGAGACCAAGAATGGCTGAAGCATGTTCTTGGCCATGTCGAGGCCCCAGGCTCAATCCCCTGCAGTGTGGGGAACAGCCCTGGCAGCCCCCAGCTCCACGGGTCCCCAGCACTGAGTCACATCAAGCATCGGCAGGAGTGGCCCTCAGGCCCCCAAGGGCTGTTAAAAGGTTCCCCTTTCAACACAGGCCCCCCCCCAAAACACAAATGAAACCAGAGATCTTAAAAATTATTTTAGAGGCTGAAGTGATAACACAGCGGGTAGGGCGTTTGCCTTGCATGCAGCCGACCCGGGTTTGAGTCCCAACATCCCATATGGTCCCCTGAGCACTGCCAGGAGTGATTCCTGAGTGTAAAGCCAGGAGTAACCCCGGAGCATCGCCAGGTGTGACCCAAAAAGCAAAAAAATAAATTAATTTAAAAAAATATTTTAAGGGGCCAGAGCAATAGCACAGCGGGGAGGGCATTTACCCTGCACACGGCTGACACGGGTTCGATCTCTGGCATCCCACGTTACCCCCTGAGCACTGTCAGGAGCAATTCCTGAGTGCAGAGCCAGGAGTAACTCCTGAGCATTGCCAGGTGTGACCCAAAAACAAAACTAAACAAAACAAAAAATTATTTTAAAAGCCACGTGGCATAGAGGCTAGAGAGACAGTCCAGGTGTTCAGGCACATGCCTTGTGTGCAGCCAACACCAGTTTGATCCCCAACACTGCACATGGTCCCCCGAGCACTGTGAGGAGTGATCCCTGAGCACTGGGCCTGGAGTAGCACAGCCCTGAGCACCACCAGCTATAACCCCAAAATAAACAGATTGATCTGTAAACAAGTAATAGAGACAGATCAATTCATAAGTAGATCAAAATAAATAGATTGGCCGCAGAGATAGTACAGCTGGTAGGGTGTTTGCCTTGCACATGGCTGACCTGGGTTCAATCCCCGGCATCCCATAGGGTCCCCCAAGCACCACTGGGAGTAATTCCTATGTGCAGAGCCAGGTCTAACCCCCGAGCATCACCGGGTGTGACCCAAAAAGCAGCAATAAATAAATAAATGAGCAGATCAATAGATATGTATATAATAAATGGATGGAAAGAAATTGATTGTTAATAACTGGATCAATCGCTACATGCTGGCCGAGTCTGTGTGCCGGAAGTCCGCATCTTTCAGGAACCAGCGGCCACAGGGACATTACCTCCTCAGGACTTTCCCTGAGCCTTTGCCCCTCACTGCTTCTGCGTCGCCTCTCAGCACGGCAAGGAAATTCTGCGGTGTGACATCCTGCAGAGAGAGGAGAGAGGACTCAGGGCTGTTTTTCCACCCGAGCACTGGCCGCGTCTGCCGCAGGCCCCGGCCTCCAGCAGCTGCCACCATGGTTCCCAGGGAGGCTCACAAGCGAACCCGCTAGGATGAGAAGGAGCATAGCAGGGGTGGGTGCACCTTCTCGTCTCCAAGGGCGCCTTGTCCCGGCAGCCTGTGGCCCTTCCCGAGCATCCCAGAGGCCACAAGGCTGGAAGGAGGGGAAGGTCCCCACCCCCAGCTCAGGCACCACTCAGACCCTCACACTCAGCTGCTGCCCACCAGCGAGAATGATGCAAGGACAGTCAATGACCCTGGAAGGAATCGTGCAAACAAAACAAACAACTAGAGTGGTAGTACAGTGGGTGCGGTGCTGGCCTTGCATGTAGCCGACCCAGGTTCTATTCCCGGCACCACATATTGGAACTGCAAGCCCTCAGGAGTGATCCCTGAGCACAGAGCCAGGAGTAACCCCTGAGCACTGCTAGGTGTGGCTCAAAAAACAAAGAAACAACAACAACAATAATAATAATAATCAGTGGCTAGAGAGATAATACAGCGGTCGAGGCACTTGTCTTGCACGCGTCCAACCCCAGCTGGAATTCTCGGCATCATGTATGATTCCCTGAGCACTGCCAGGGGTCCTGGAGCACAGAGCCAGGACTTGCCCCAGAATGCCACCAGGTACCAGAACCCAATAAAACTCTGCAAAACCCACCACCACCCGAGAGTCTAGACATTCCCCTCTGTTACTGTCTAGAAACAGTCAAAAAATGGGGCAGTTGGTGGAGCTGGCTCAAAGGTGGGGCGGGGGGGGGGGCAGGCTTCAAAGTGGCTCTGAGACTGGCCCAACCTGGACAGAGCAGCCATGGCAAACCCAAGGGGCATCCCCTGGAGGGGTGAACTGCCATCATTTCATGGGTGGGATTAAAAGAGAAAGTGAGAGGGGGCTGGAGCGATAGCACAGCGGGTAGGGCCGTTTGCCTTGCACGTGGCCGACCCAGGTTCGATCCCCGGCATCCCATATGGTCCCCTGAGCACCGCCAGGAGTAATTCCTGAGTGCATGAGCCAGGAATGACCCCTGAGCATGGCCGGGTGTGACCCAAAAAGCACTGTTGCACTGTCCTCCCGTTGTTCATAAATTTGCTCGAGCGGGAACTAGTAACGCCTCACAAGAAATTGTGAGACTTGTTGTTACTGTGTTTGGCATATCCAATACGCCACAGGGAGCATGCCAGGCTTTGCTGTGCAGGCAGGATACTCTCGGTAGCCTGCCGGACTCTCTGAGAAGGACGGAGGAATCGAACCTGGGTTGTCCACGTGCAAGGCAGATGCCCTACCCACTCTGCTATCGTTCCAGTCCACCCAAAAGGCAAAAAAAAAAAAAAAAAAAAAAGAAAAGAAAAGAAAAATTGAGGGACCAGAGTGATATGACACTTCCCTTGCACACAGTCCCCACGTTAGGACCCCCTGAGCTTGTCCAGGAGAGATCCCTGAGTCAGAGCCAGAGAAAGCTCTGTGCATCACTGGGTGTGGCCCAAAAAGCCTAAGTTTAAGAAAAAAAAAAAAAAGTCAGGTTTTAGGGGAGGAAACTTTTAGGGAAGACTGGAAGCAGCCGCAGGGTAGCCGACGCCATATCCAGGAACTTCTCTTTGCTCATCCCCACAGGATTTTCAGAAATTACTCAAGCACAAATCTTTCTGCCAACTCATATGGTTATAATTCTGGAAAAATACAAAAAGGGGGGCCTCATCCCTGCTAGGAAATAGTGCTGACCCGCCAGCCCCTCCCCTCGACATCTAGTCCTTAAGGACCCCCTCGTATAGGTCTGACCCTCCAGCCGCTCACCTCGCCCGTGTAGTCCTTAGGGACCCCCTTGTACACATCTGTGCCGTTGGGTCTGTTGATGATGATGCCAGGGGTGGGGTTGCTGAAAAGCAAAGGACCAGATCTCAGGCCACGCCCGGGCAGCTCCGACACCAGCTCCCTGAGACCGTGTCCCCGGTGTATCTACGACTCACAAACAGGGAGCAGGTGGGGCCGGAGCGATCGTCCAGTTGGGGAGGGCATCTGCTTTGCACAAGGCAGACCCGGGTTCAATCCCCGGCATCCCATCTGGTCCCCCGATCACCGCCAGGAGTAATTCCTGAGTGCAGGGCCAGGAGGAACCCCTGAGCATTGCTGGGTGTGACCCCAAAAGCAAAAATAATAATAATTGTAAAAACAGGGAGCCAGGGGAGAGCTCCGGGGTACCCGCAGGCACTCGGCCCTGAGTTTGGTTTCTTGCGGTCATGCCCCCAAACCTTCAGGTTGCTGCTGGGGTGACCTCCCCCCACGGTCACCACATCTTAGTGCATCCTCCAGTCTTAGTGGCCTATTAGCCCCAGGGCAGCAGTCCATCGCCACCTGTATGGCCTTGGGAACCATCCGCACCCCAACGCTCAAGTTCTTGGAGGAGCAAGAATATGAACTCTGAAATCTGAGGAAGGGCTGGAAACCAGAGAACATCCTGGGGACAAGATACTCATCAACCGGTGATGGGTAAGTACACCGGTGAAGGAAGGGACGCATGTTGGAACATTCTAAGACTGCAATCTAATCATGAACAACGACTGTGTATAACACTGTGACTCACTTTAAAAAAAAATTAAAAAGATGAAAATTAATTAAAAGTGGAAATTACCCAAGAATTGAGTCTAGAGCTTAGATTTAGAAAGCGGGGAGGAACGGGAGCCTTACTGAACCTAGCTTCCTGGGTCCCTGCCACGGGACAATGCGGGGGAACTGCACTGGGAGCTAGGCCCTGTCCTGACATGGGAGAACTGCACCAGGAGCTGGGCCCTGTGCTGACACGGGGGAACTGCACCAGGAGCTGGGCCCTGTCCTGATGTGGGGGAACTGCACCAGGAGCTGGGCCCTGTCCTGACGTGGGGGAACTGCACTGGGAGCTGGGCCCTGTCCTGATGTGGGGGAACTGTGCCAGAAGCTGGGCCCTGTTCTAACACAGGGGAACTGCGCCAGGAGCTGGGCCCTGTCCTGATATGGGGGAACTGCACCAGGAGCTGGGCCCTGTCCTGACGTGGGGGAACTGCACTGGGAGCTGGGCCCTGTCCTGATGTGGGGGAACTGTGCCAGAAGCTGGGCCCTGTTCTAACACAGGGGAACTGCGCCAGGAGCTGGGCCCTGTCCTGATATGGGGGAACTGCACCAGGAGCTGGGCCCGATCCTGATGTGGGGGAATTGCACCAGGAGCTGGGCCCTGTCCTGACACCCCCACGCGCTGCGTACTCACTCCTCTGAGTTGGCGATGTCGTCGTACATCATCACCACGATCTGCTCATCGGGGATCCCGTTCCGGTGGACGATCTGGTAGGCGTGGCACGCATCAGCCTGGAGAGGGAAAGTTCAACACTGCTAGAATTTGGGGTCCCCATGGGCCACATATGCTTCCATCCCAGGCTCCATCCTCAGCTACACACACACACACACACACCAGTCAAAAGAGTGTGGACAGCATAAATCATTACAGATCTTGGAGACTGGAATACAGACCCCAGGGTTAGGGGACAGAGGGGGACAACTCGGCTGCCGGAAGGGAGAAGAAACAAAAAAAAAAAGGGTCTGGAGCCTGTGGGTGGTGCTATGGGAGGGAACAGTCTGCACCAAAATCAGATCTGTTGATCAATAAATAATGGAGGGGCCAGAATGATAGTACAACCATAGGCATTTGCTTTGCATGCGGCCAACCTGGGTTGATGTGGTTGATCAGCATCCCATATGATCCCCTGAGCACCGTCAGGAGTGATTCCTGAGTGCAGAGCCAGGAATAACCTTTGAGCATCACTGGGTATGATCCAAAAAGCAATAAATAAATAAGAAATAATGGAGACTGGGGCCCGAGCAACAGGACAGTTGGAGGGCACTGGCCTGGCATGTGGCCGGCACAGCTTCAATCCCTGGCACCACATATGATCCCCCGAGCCTGCCAGGAGTGAGCCCTGAGAATAGCCGGGCATGACCCTCCAAAAAAAAGAAAGAATGGGGACAGGGATGGAAGGGTAGGAACACCGGGCTGGAGTCAATCATGGGGGCTGGGAGGAGGGTTGTGGGCACCTTGGGGGTAGTGGGCAGTGCTTTGGACATCAATACTAGAAACAAACACCATTGTAACCCTATCCTTTAAACTACAATAAAAATTATATTCAGTTTTTTTTTAAAAAGAGCCAGTTTGTATCATAAGATATAATGGAACAAAGAAGTATCATGAGAGACAGAGAGAGAGAGAGAGAGAGCCCATGAAATATTCTCTTTGCACCAGCGGTTTAAATTTTCATTTATTTATTTACTTATTTTTGTTTTTTGGGTCACACCTGGCAATGCACAGGGGTTACTTCTGGCGCTGCGCTCAGGAATTATCCCTAGCGGTGCTCAGGGGACCATATGGGATGCTGGGGATCAAACCTGGGTTGGCCGCATGCAAGGCAAACGCCCTACCCGCTGTGCTATTGCTCCAGCCCCTTCAATTATTTTAAAACAGAAGCATTTATATTTTTTGAGTTATTAAAAAAAAAACCCAAATAACATTATCCATATGCCCCGGTTCACTAGGCATTTACCACACCTCTCTCCATTCTTCCCTCTCTCATCTCTCTCTCTCTGTCTCTGTCTGTCTGTCTGTCTTTCTCTCTCTCTCTCTCTCTCTCTCTCTCTCACACACACACACACACACACACACACACACACACACACACACACACACTCACTGACAGTGGTTGGGGTCTTTGAAAGTCCTCAGTGGCTTGATTTTTCCTTCCCACACTACAGAAAAATCCAGAAAGCACAGAAATCCCTCAGACTCAAGAGCAGCCGAGCAAGGCTGAGTTCGGGGTCACACGTTTAGTTCCGATTCAAATTACTTGGGCAAGCAAAGTGGAGACTCAGGCATCCCCACAGGCATGGAGAGACGGAAATTTCTTTTACAATCAAAATAATAACAGCCACAGCAACAGGGACCATCAAAAAGCAAAACCTGTCTAAAACAACAACAAAAAGATGACCAGCAATCATGAGGAGAGAAGGAAACCTCCCCAGCACCCCACTTCCAGTGAACTGTGTCTGGTCTGGGAAGACACGTGCCTGCAGGGAACTGCATGCTGGCTCTGCTGGCTCCAGGGGCAGAGTTCTTTCAGAGCAGGGAGGACACACTTCCTCTTCTGACCAATAAAAACAGCGCTCCAACACTGAACTCAGCGTTTCCCCCTTGGCTGCCCGGAACACATGGATTTTTTTAACCATAATGGAATTTGCAGAGATAATGGGTCCCTTTATTCATTTACTGATAACGCTCAAAGGGGGGCCACGCCCAGGGTCTTGCACTATGGAACTGCTAAGGAATGGATCGCCAGACAAATACAAAAACCACACACAGTAGGTCTTTCACTTGGAAGGGATTGAGCCTGCAGGCTTTGTGGATAATAGCACTGTTGTACTGTCCTCCCGTTTTTTAACAATATGCTCAAGCGGGCACCAGTAACGTCTCCATTGTGAGACTTGTTACTGCGTTTGGCATATCGAATACATCATGGGGAGCTTGCCAGGCTCTGCCGTGTGGGCGGCATACTCTCCACAGCTTGCCAGGCTCTCTGAGAGGGGTGGAGGAATCGAACCCAGGTCGGCCGTGTACAAGGCAAAAGCCCTACCCACTGTGCTATCGCTCCAGCTCTTGTGGATAATATCTCATTTAATTCCTACAGCAACTCTGTGAGAAAAGGCTGGGGAATTAAGAGCCTTGAGAAGAGGGAAGTGGGACAGCTCCGAGGACGAGGGATTCTGACCCTGCTGTTCCAGAAACAACACGGGGACCCTTGGGAGCAGACGAAACCCTGCAAGAGGCAGCGGAGAACAACCAAAACTGATCACCCTCAGAGAGTCACCAATATTTTATTTCTTTTCTTTGCAGTATTTGGGATCCAACCCAGAGCCTCACACTTTACCGACATATTCAAAATGCTATGATATTTATTTTACTTTTTTTGGATATAAATAGATTTTATTTGGGGGATTTTTAAGGTGTGGAGTGGGAACAGAGTGAGAGAGTAACGTACTCAAGAGAGAACACGGGCTTCTCCAAAGGCGGAGAGAGCCCCGACACACATCCTAGCATTAGACACAAAAGCTTGAGAGTACACAAAAATGCTATGATGTTTAAATCCTCATTTCCGTGGAATATTAAAGCGATTAGAGGCGGCCCCCAAAGCCTCCATCCCTCTCGGAGAGCCCGGCAAGCTGCGGAGTGTATGCCGCCCACACGGCAGAGCCTGGCAAGCTCCCCATGATGTATTCGATATGCCAAACGCAGTAACAAGTCTCACAATGGAGACGTTACTGGTGCCCGCTTGAGCCTATTGTTAAACAATGGGAGGACAGTACAACAGTGCTGTCCCGCCCATACAGCAGAGCCTAGCAAGAGTGTCCCGCCCATACGGCAGAGCCTAGCAAGCTACCCATGGTGTATTCGATATGCCAAAAACAGTAACAATAACGGGTCTCATTCCCCTGACCCTGAAAGAGCTTCCAACATGGCAGCGTTGGGAAAGACGAGTAAGAATGAGACAGGGATGGATGAAGATGTTACTGGCGCCCGCTCGAGCAAATCAACGAACAACGGGCTGACAAGTGATACAAGTGATACTAAAACACAAATTGTGAAGACTCGGTGCTCCCCCCAAATAACCAGATCCTCAACCCTGAAACCCATGACCATTCTGTGTCATCAGGGAAGGAAGGAAGGAAGGAAGGAAGGAAGGAAGGAAGGAAGGAAGGAAGGAAGGAAGGAAGGAAGGGGGTGAATTTAAGCTTGCCAGTCAGCTGCCTTCAAGCCAGAGAGCAAGAAATGAGAAAACGAGATCGAAGTAGGCACAGAACACGCCACAGACAAAAATCACGAGCCTTCTGATTAAAATAGAAAAGACGTGTTTGCAGAAATGGGCAAGATGATCCTAAATTTTTACAGAATTGCAAAAAACGAAAGACCCCGTATAGTCACTTTTGATTCAGAACACTGTCAGAGAGCTTTCACTTCCCGATTCCAGAAATTACACAGGGGGAAGAGTCATTTTAGCAATGCTGTGACAATTTGGATACCCCTACGCGTGGGGGATGAACTCGACCTGCCACCTCCACACGGAAACCAGGTGAAGAGCGTCACTGAAACGGGAGCCAGGGCTTAAACAAGACAACAGGAAACCGTTGGTCTGTTCTATTTGAAGGAGCCACATGGGGCTGCGCTCAGGGCTGACTCCTGGCTCTGAGCTCAGGAATCATTCCTGAGCGAGTGCTCAGGGGACCGGAGGGGGTGCTGGGGATTGAACCCGGATCCGTGCTGACCTGCTGGACTATCTCTCTGGCTCAAAAAGAGAAAACTTTTAGGACCTGAGTTATAACTGCAAAGACGTAGCATTTAAAAAAAAATGCTTTCGTGTTTCAAGAAACATCATTAAAAAATGAAGAGATGGGCAGGAAATGGAGCCGGGTGGGAGTAGCCAGGCTTTTTCTGGACTAGCCCCTGGATTCCACCCCAGGAACTAAGGGGCAGGAGAGGGGAGATGTGAGGTTTGAAGGAGAGGGGGATGGGGAAATTGGGAGAGCAAACACAGAGACAGACAGACAGACAAGATGAAGACGTGCAATAGAATAAGAAAAATGATTTGCATAGCATATATTTGAATCTGGGTCTCGACTATGAAAAGAACCATTACATTCATAAAATAACCATCCCACCAAGAACAGGTAAGGCGGACTGGAGAGACATCTCGACGGGCTGGAGCACATGCTCTGCATGCAGTGAGGACAGCAAGGAGTGACCCCAACCCCCCAGCACACAGCCAGGAGCAGCCCCTAAGCCCTGCTGGGTTCGGCTGTAAAACAAAAACCAAAAACTAAAAAGGGGTAGAGAGTTCTATTCCCAGCATTGCATGATCCCCGAGACTTTGGTACAGCCCGGGTCGCCCCCCAGCATTATTGCACCTGAGCTGCATTGCATCCCTGCCTGAGTACCAAACCCTCAGGATGCACTGGATGGATGGATGGAAGGATGGAAGGATGGTGGGTGGGTGAATGGATGAATGGATGGATCGCACATGAATGGATGAATGATGGGTGAGCGGATGGATGGATAGATGGACAGATGGGTGGGTGAGCAGATGGATGGATGGACGGATGAATGGACAAATGGATGGATGGTAGGTGCATGGGCAGATGGACAGATGGATGGGTGGATGGTGAGTGGATGGACAGTGGATAGATGAATGGATGGGCAAATTGTGGGCAGATGGTATATGGGTAAATGGATGGATGGATGGATGGATGGACAGATGGACAATGGATGGGTG